GTCTACTATGTACTTGAATCGGGTAAACACTGCGTCCGTTCCGTGTACCCCAATCACCGGCCCAAGCACTAGCACGGGGAAGCGCGGAGGCAAGGGGCCGACTGCCCAGTGCTAAACCGCTATGAACGTCTAGAACTGGCGGCCTCGGTCCACCTCAGGCGCTCTAGAACTCTAAGCAAGCTTTTGGAGCAGCAAGGTAAGGTACCTGCGAAAAGGTACCAGGGTGACAGCAGCGCCGGTTGCACCCCAATGACAGCATCGCGATCCGCCGAAACCACGGGTTCCTAACGACACATGCTCGACGACGCGACTCGCCGACAAATTGTTCTGTGCCTACCACCACACCACGAGCACCACTGCAGCCCTACTATTCTACTTCCCTCTTTTGCTTTCATCGCCAACTTGCTGCCTGTTGTCTCCTTGAAGCCACATTTGTTTCTACAGTCTTATCCTTTTTTTCCCCCTGTTTTCTCCCTGCTGAGGGTTTGACTTCGTGGCTTCCTCCATCCATCCTTAGGCCAAGGATTCCGCATTCTCTTCGCTAGCACGATTATCGCATTCAAACGGAGATACAGCCGATCAACCAGCATACAAGCCTTCTCGATCGCGAGTTTTCATCCAAAGTCCTGCAAGCCAATCCACATGGCTCTGACTTCCGGCCCTGCCTTTGCTCGATAATTACCTCGCCCTTTCCTCGCCGAGACGGTCCCTCATCCCTGGCGCCCCCAAAGCCACGATGCCTCGCTCTCGACCCCCCACGACGGGCTACGAGCGCCTAGCTCAAGCCGATGCCCTCTCCTCCGACTCCGAAGACGACGGCCCTCTCACCCAGTCATATGCCTCCCTCCAGCCGGCCTCGGCCCCTCGCTTCGCACCCATCACGCAACCGCGGCCCCGTTCGGGCATGACCACCCCCAAACCAGCGATAGCCGGCCCTTCCAGACCTAAGAATCGCCGTCGCGGCGGCAGCAACTCTGGTGTAGACATAAAGGCTATCAATGCTCGATTAGAACGATGGGCCGATGAGATCGCTAGCCGGTTCAAGCGCACAAAGGGGCGCGGCAAGACGGGAGATGATGAGCATCTAGAGATCCATCATTCAGTGTTCCAAGCTCCCGAGGGCGTCCGACCCATTACTCCTGAAGGCCTGGCGGCGCCGCAAGATGTCATGTCCAAGTCGCAGTTCGAACAGATCGTGGGCAGTGTCAGGCAGGCTATTCTTCAGGGCACGCATCCTCGAATGATCGCACAGGGAAGCTCCGGCAGCTACTTTGCCCGGAATACGGAGGGCAAAGTCGTGGGTGTCTTCAAGCCTAAGGACGAGGAGCCGTACGCGGCTGGCAATCCCAAGTGGAACAAATGGATCCATCGCAACTTGTTTCCTTGTTGCTTTGGGCGAGCATGGTATGATACTATATACAGCAACTCCGAAAGCTCCATGGCTAATCGTATCGCAGTCTGATCCCCAACCTTTCATACGTCAGCGAAGCGGCGGCATACACGTTAGATTGCCAACTGCGCACCCATATGGTGCCTTACACGGATGTCGTCTGGTTATCTTCAAAATCCTTCCACTATCCGTTCTGGGACCGTCGCAGTTTCTACAGAAAGCAAAAGCCATTTCCAGAAAAACCCGGGAGCTTTCAGGTCTTCCTGAAAGGTTTCAAAGACGCCAATGTGTTCCTCAGAGAACACCCATGGCCTGACCAGTACTGGTCCGGCTTCAGAACCAACGATCCACATCGCAAGCGTAGGAGAAGGTGGGCAGACAATTGCCGGCCGAGCAGTGCGGCAGCCTTGGACGACATTGAGAGCGACGATGAAGGCAGCCGGGAACGGCTACCCCCAGGTCCCGACAATTTTGTGTGGACCGAAGGCTTGAAGCAGTCATTCCGTGAGGAGCTCGAGAAACTGGTAATTCTTGATTACATGATGCGTAACACTGACCGCGGCCTGGATAACTGGATGATCAAAGTGGACTGGAGCACACAGCAAGTGTCGATCGTGTCAGAGCCGCTTCAAATGAACACAGAAACCGCTTCGTCGGAAGAGAGCGGACCTCGCCCGGTAGATTTGAACCAGCGACCAGCAGCAGAAAGCCGCTCCTCATACCCGTACAGGACGCAGCAGCCGATGAAGGCATCCAGTCCCAATCCAAGCGCACAAGATCCTAAGATAACGATTGGTGCTATCGACAACTCCCTCTCCTGGCCCTGGAAACATCCCGATGCATGGCGAAGGTACGTGTCACTTTGATGGTCCAAAATTTCCCTTCAATTTGTTCCACATGAATGCGCGCGAAAAGGAATGCTAACCACCCATATCATCCAGCTTCCCCTTTGGCTGGCTGTTCCTTCCCGTCGATCTGATTGGACGGCCGTTCTCGCAGAAGACGCGAGATCACTTCCTCCCCCTCCTGACCTCAACGCACTGGTGGAGTCAGACACAATTGGCGTTGCGAAAAGTGTTCCAACTGGATCCCGACTTTCAGGAAAAGATGTTTGCTCGGCAGATCGCAGTCATGAAGGGCCAGGCATGGAACGTGGTAGAGACGCTCAAGACACCGGATCACGGTCCTTTGGAACTCACCCGGCGCGCCAAGGTCTGCGTTTGGGACGATCTTGTCGACGTGCCAGTTGCAGTGCCCATGCGGGTCACGTCCGCCGAGATGATGCGCGAGGCAGAGCTCCGACGCTCCATTGACGAGGGCGACATTGGCCAGGCCAACACGTCTGCTGCACCTACCCACCGCGTGGACGAGGACCTGCTCGGCTTCGCTAGTCCCCCGGCCGACATGCCTCATCCGGGCAGGTTTGAGCTTGCTCTCAGCCCGACGGGCGAAGGAGCCCAATCACCGGACGAGATGTCCATGAGCGGCTCGGGTATACTGGCCTCGTCTGCACCGCTAGGTAACAAGGACGCGGCTTCGCAACGGCCCAGGTTCTCGGGACAACCGCACCGAGAGAGCTACCACGGCACGCGCGCCCTCAACATGTATTCTCCCGCTCGTCAGCAGTCCCAGCAGCAGCAGCAGCAGCAAAGGCGATACTCTTTCGCAACAGCAGCTGGACGGCGCAACAGCGGCAGCATCGCGCAGCACCTGTATGGCTCGCGCCGGAGCATGGAAGAGTATGACGAAGACGACGACGTCGAGGAGGGCGACCTAGGCTATGCGGCCGCCGAGGGCATGGAGGGCAACCAACGCAAGGTTATTGTGGAGAGGCTGGAGCCGGTGAAAGCCAGGAACCCGGTTTTCACCTGCTGGTGATCCACCCATCCACTCGGGGGGGCCTGCATCGAGCAAAACATTACGGGGGGGCGGCACGGAGTTGGAGAGGAGTTGGAGCTGGGTCATCGGTTGGTGGGGTCCCTTTTTTCTCTTGCTCCGCCTGCGGTTGTCCCATGCTAGGGAAGGGGTCCCGGGGTGGAGAGAGAGGAGGAGAAGGAGGAGGAGTCGAGAAAGCGGTGTTTTCCCCCTCTCTCTTCCTCCTTCTTTTTTTGTTTTATTCCCACTTGCTTGCTTTGGGGCGGTTATTACCACCGAGTACGAACTAAGGGGAGCCAGGGGAGGAGTTTGTTGGGTTCAAATTTCGGATCGTGTGTCTAGAATAGTTGACTAACCCCCTCCCCCCTCCTCCTCTTCCTTCCTCCGATCCCGCCCTTCAGCGCGTCAGCACAGAAGAGAAGAGAAGAGAAATCATGATACACATGGCATTTGGTGGCGTTTCTTGTGCATTCGTCCCTTGACTTGGCGTGGCTGGGCACACACGAGAGAGAGAGGGAGAAAGAGAGACCTTTGGTCGCAAAGACAGACAACACGAAACCGGACGGCGGACAACAGCCAGAGACATGATGAGAGAGACATATGATGACAACACGAACACACTACACAGTATCACACAACCACGCGAGGAGAGACGTGGGTCCCAACAGGCCGCAGAGTCAGACCCATGGTCAGAAGAGGAGACAGGACTCTCGAAGGACATCGTGAGATGAACAAGGGTTGAAGGGATAAGCGCAGATGTGAGAAGAAGACGAAGGAAAAGCAAAGAATAGGGGAGGCTAGGAATGGGCCGTGAAGTGAGGGGGGAGAGAGAGAGAAGGGGGGATTCATACCGTAACAGTTGCATCCGTACCTACATGTGCTATTACTGTTGGTCCTGTTTTCCTTTTTGCGGGAGGTTGGAAAGAGGATTAAGGAAAGAAAAAAATAACAGGGCGCGCATGCAAATGACCTTTTTCGGCAACTAGGAAAAAAAGTCCCTTTTTTCCTGGGTTGAATCAGGCAAGGATTTCCAACTTGGCCTTGTCACCTTGGACCTACATATCTGTACCTTTTCGCGCGCCCATCCAGTTCAGGGGATGGGTGAGGGGGCTTATGCACCAACCGGCGTGTTCTCGTAATTCCAAACATGGTACGGAGTACCAAAGAAAGAAGGGAGAAAGAAGCAAAAATACAGAGAGGACTTACCCATAGAAAGCCCAGGTGTTCACAGCACGGCCAAAGGCCGCGAGACACCTTGTAATGACACATTTTGCAGGACGAGGACGAAAAGAGATAATGCATTGTGCCACCAGAATAGAAAGTGACTGCTCAAGTCACACAACAGGAGGCCTAGTCAGACCGTTGGGACGATGACGGTCCGTTCTCGACGAGTTGCGCCGGTTGTCTTTTGCTGTCAATGCTCTTTGAAGCTTGCCAAAGGTAGGTATTCGAATCCTCTCGAGATTGTCATCCATCGGTCATCAGTTGTGATCCCAAGTCGCGTTTCACAGAGAACGAAGAGGGCGGTAGCGGCGCGGCCGCTTCCCTTCGTCATTGCTGGCCTGGAGGACTGTACACAATACACGGTAGGTATGTGTGTGCGTGCGTGTGAATGTGTGTGAGTGTGCCAGGGTACCGCCCAGCCCGTGATCTGTGCACGCAAGAATAATATTATAGGAGGGGTGGGCGTCGGTATTACGTCCAAATTCCGCATCGTCGGTAGATGGCAGAAGAGATGAAAGAGGAAAAGTCGATTCATGTGCCCATGGCCGCAGTAAAGCCGCAGTCGCAGCCACAGCCGCAGCCGCACCTTTCATTTCCTTCCTACGAATACCCGGAAAAGAGAGGTCGGGAGGTAAGACTCGCCGGCTCGCAGGACCGGCACCGCGCTCCATGCCTTTTCAGAAAGTCAGCTCGCAACACCATGGTCTTCTAGAAGCATTGTTCCCCCGTCCTGGTGAAACGACAGAAACCTGGTCCTTGGATATGCTCTCCGTAGAACCGGGGGCCATTGCCAGACGATTGGATCGTAGATGGCAGGCAACGCCGCTCGTCATCCAGGATTCAACAATAGGGGGAGCTCAGCTGGGTATCTTTGTATCGCAGTGTCATGGTATTAGTCCGTAAGCTGCGGTCCCGTCAGCAAGACAGGGGTCGTAGGGGGCCGGTTGGCATCGATAAGGGGGACGATATGCCCCAGCATCCCGTCCTATTGGAACCCGAGAGTACGGTTCTGTTCGAGAGGAAAATGAAGACGGAGGAACAAGCAGGGTGCTTGTCGACTAGGGTTCCCTGCTCGCGGGAATGAATGTGACTCCTCATCGACAGCCAACTCATCTCCCCCCTCTCTGCATGGGGAGAAGAAAAGCCGTTGGACGAAGGAAAGAGAAGCAGGCCACAAGCCAAATTTCTATCATGTCGGGTAAAGAGAGTTGTGGAATATTATGTATGTATGGATATGCAGATGCATGGTCCGCAACTGTGCAGGCGAGAGGTCGCGGTCAACGGCCGCCAAGTCACGCTGCTTTCGATTTCCTCTCCAGACACCTGCTTGTTTTCATCAGAATCGTCCAAGTTGAGTGGCTGGAGGGATTATTACACACAGGAGCAACCTAGGTATTGAGCGATGGGTCAAATGCTCCCCTCTGACGTGCATTGTCTCTGACAGGCTAATTTCTTGCCTGAATCCACGATGCAGAGGAGTGTCTTGCGTCAGTCGAAGAACAACAGCTACCTCTTTCTGGGTAGCTGCTCGGTAAAAGCATGCGCAGGGAACCCATTTCGTTCGAGTTGCCGAGTTATGGATCGCAGCCCTGCTCTGAATACATAGAATACCGTGGCCACTTGCTAGGTAGATCTTTGGCTACCTAGCAAGCCATAAGCGTCAATTTGCCAATTGCTTGTCGCGCGGCATCCCGGCCGTTACGATGTATTGGGAGCCGCCTTATAACCGGTCTTGCTTATTGTAATGACATCGTCTGCCGTTCTCGGGGTCGCCTCCGGGCCATCCGCGCAACATGCTCGGCAACTCCATCGTCCCTATACTTGCCCACAGCCCCTCGCACAGCTGTGACATGGTCACGTAGCTCGGGCATGTCTGTATCGAGGCCGGACACTTCTGTCTTACCATTCGTTTTGACGTCAACAAAATGAACGATTAGGGCCGTGGTGAGTTGCCTAGCGCCCAGCACAACCACAGTATGTCGTCGTCTCAAAGAGTCTCTCCCTTTGCTTTTTACCCGTCCGCCATGCAATGCATCTGAACCCGTTGGTGCAAGGGTTGCAGAGTGCAGCGAGTACGTGGCCGCTGTGGACAGGCATTGTGCTCCCAAGCACCAGGATGTGGTCTCCCCCGACAAGGAAGGGTTGTCGACCCTCGCTCCTCGGTTCCCAAATAGCTGGAACCAGGAGAGTTTTGTGGCTCGCGTCATCGCGCCCTCTCCCGAAACTCCACTGTCCGAGCCAGCAGCTACCTGGTCAGCCAGGCCAGGCTCTCCTCTCTGTTAGTTTCAAACCTGCAGAGCGGCCCGCCGAGGGGTTCGTTCGTTGAATTGGCCCAGGCAATTTCTTCTTCCAACCTTCATCAAAATCACCCCCGCCCAGGAAACATTGTTAGCCTAAGCTCCGTGAGCTCTGCTGCCAAAAGTGCAACACGCCTGCCAAACAATTAGTTCAGGGCCAGAAGGGATGAGATATTAAAGGAAAGGAACCGAGAGAGGGTGTGTGATGATTAAACCTTCATCAGCACGTACCCGAATACGCCAATGTGTCAAGACGCGCAGTAACACAACCCACCAGCAAAAAGCCATGCCCCTACCTATATTTTGCAGACCGTTGCCTGTTCCGTGCATATTGTACCGCCATCCGACCGAATTATTACCATCATGGTCTTGGGGAGGTGGTGTGGTGGAGGCCTGAGGTCGCAAGAAGCAGGCATGCGTGCTGGGCAAAGTAAAGATCGATGTTTCTGTCTGAGGCGCCCGTGTCCCCTCTCTGGCCGTTGTCGTGAGATACGGGCATGACGCGGGTCTCACTTTGCTGGCATCAGTGCAGATGATTGTCTGCTTAATGTGTGAGGATCAGACCATGAACTCCGCCTTTGGTCACTGCCTGGCTGCATATGACCCTGGCCTGCTTAATGCCAGGCAGGTAAAGCAGCATAACAGTTTTTCCTGTCTTCTTGTCGTACGAGATGATTTAGCTTGGACGAGGTAGCCATCGAGCTGCAACTGTGTGCTCTTGGTCTACCTTCTTCTATTCGTCCCCGGGCCGTACGAGTCGCGAATGAGCCTAACGACACCGAGATGGATCCAAGTCCGCGTTCTCGGGAAATCTCAGCAAGTGGAAACCGCGGGTTATCGCGAGAGACAGCAGGAGTGGCGCCGGCGTAATCCCTAGTCCAGCTCTGTATCCTATCGGGAGTTGTGCAACGCTGCTCTAGCTCGTCCTCCCACCACCTGTAGCTGCCATGTCTTCATGTTCAAGCCAACGACCGGATCCTTGGGACATGGGAGCCGCTGGAATTTGAGTAAAGCTCCGCGCGCGATGGGAGCGGATCGACTATGTAACCCCTCCTTTGAGCAACGCTCCTTTTCATAGTGAGGTAGGGGGGAGGGGTTGATCAGGAAACAAGGAATGGAGAGCCGTGTTTGCTGAAGAGCTTCCCATAACCTGGGCACTGGCTGGAGGGTTACAACAGGAATTCGTGTGTTGGGCCCAGGACTCGGGCCATGCAGTTGGTCTCAAGACAACATCCACCACTAGGCTTCGTCGTGGGTGTGGGTGCTCTGATTGTAGCAGCAAGCATCGGTGTCTTCGCCCGACTCCGGGGTGGCGGCGGTGAGCCGTTCAAAGAAGCTCAAAAAACTCATCGTCCTGGGTAAATCCAGAAGCCAATTCGACCCTTTCGCAGCCTTGTGGGATGTTGGTCTGTGATGGTGCGTCCCGCTAGACAACGACCAGGTCGTTCAGAAAGACGACCGTCTACCTGGCTTCCGGAACAGCCTCTGAAAGGTAAGCTACGGTTAACGGGATCCATGGATCTGGCAACTGATAAAAGCGGTGTCCAAGTTGCCAGGATGGGTTGGGACCCGCTGCCACACCCGCCCTATGCCACTCAATGACCTGGGATTAGCACGTCTTGGTTGTCTGCCAGCTCCATTCTCGAATTTTCGTGTGTACAGGGGGGTTCGGGGCCAGCAATAACAACAGAGGACATATCCATGTCACCCGAAGACTGCCTCGTCCGCACCGCACCGCGTACCAAAGGGTACCGAACAGGCTCCCAACTTTTCCAGTGTAGGTCGTGGTGTACTAACCCAAGATCGACAGCGACGTCGTGGGGTGTAGAAAGCAAAGGCCGGCCAATGTCGAGTACCTTTCGACTTGACCAATGTCCCCACCTCCGACATAGTAGGCAGTTAATTTTATGTCTATTAGACACGACTGCCGCCTTCGTGAAAACCCCTGTGATCCGAATATGGCTCCTTTGACGGACTTTCGGGTTTCGTTTGTGGGCAGTGCTTGAGAACTAGTCCTTGCCTTCCATCCCGTCCTGGATCCCTAGGAACATCGCCTCGTTGGAGCAACGTAACCACCACATACAAGCTCTAGTTCATCCCAATATCGAATTCCAAAGGCAGACTTTGGACGAAAGAAACTCAGTTTAGTCGAACCTGTTCGTAAGAAGAATTCTTCCATTGTGGTTGTCGACATGGCAAGGTATTGCTGAAACTCGTCTCCTCTTGCGAAGGATTCCTTTGATCGCTAAACCACTCCCAGTGATCCACAGACAGTTCCGTTGGATAACGCCTTCCTGGAAACCATCACATACCAAGGTAGAGAATACCAACGATACGCAGTTGACAATGGAGCATACTTCGCGCCGATAGATGAGGTAGGAGACATGCCGCCCCTAAACACACCACGTCTTGCTGAGTGTATTTTTCCAACCCGGTTGTAGGATGAAGTTGAACGCTTGCAAATGATGCACGTTGTACTATCCATAGTATTCGAAAATCGCCTCCTTTTTCCACCGATCACCAGGCCCCGGCGAGTTCTTGAATGCGGCTTCGGAGCCGGTGACTGGGCTATCGACGTTGCACAACAACACCCAAACTGCGAGGTACGTGCTGTACGCACTCAAGTCCCATTCCTTTCGCGACTGTGCGATAGTCGGTATCCATGCCTTTGGCGCGTTTTGCTGGACGTCGTGGGATGACCGGATCAGCCAGTCGTTTGCATCCATCGCCAACGCGACGGGCTATTGTCTCCCTCTTCTGCGCTTGTCTATGTGCAGAAAACTACATGCTTTCTGGTTAAGAGGACTACAATTCTCTTTTCCTCATCCATATCATGATCATGATGACGAGTGACAGGAACGGATTGATCGCCTCGCCGCTTCGGGTGCCGCTGCGTTAGCAGTGCTGATTTTGTCCGATAGGTAGTAGCCATCGATATCTGCCCACACATCTGGCCCGACGAAAGCCAGACGCCGACGAACTTGAATCTGCAAGTCGATGACCTCAATAGCAGGTACATTTCCAGGCGAGCTTCAGCCGCAGGTTGGACCCTGAAGTGCTCCTGACTCAGCTGACTTGGCCTAGGTTCACCTTTCCATCAAATCATTTCGACCTCGTACATAGCCAGATGATGGCAGGCGGTATCCACTCGAATCGATGGCGGGATTACCTTCGAGACATCCATCGCGTACTTCGACCAGGCGGTTGGTGTCAAATGGTGGAGATATACTTTAACGCGCAGTCAGACAACGGAACGTTGACTCAAAGTAGGTCGGATCCCCTTCTAGAGATTGGACCTTGCATTGATTGCCTGCTGTGCCAGATCACGCCCTTCGTAGGTGGTCGAGGCGATACCTGGATAGTATGCAACCGTACAAAGACCCCAGGGCGCCAATGCAGATGCAAAGTTGGATGCAAAGTGCTGGATTCGACTCGGTGGAAACCCAAATGATCCCTCTCCCGACTTGCGGTTGGTCAAATGGTATGAAAACCTCGAAACCGAAGTGCAGAAACTTTGACCTGATTTTCGACTAGACCCGAGGCAGCACCAAATCGGTGTGGCTAACAGAGAAAATGTGAGGAGGATGCTTGCGTCACTGGCGATGTATCCCATGACAGAGTTCCGAGGGTAAGGGAGTCTTCCTTTTCCCATTGTTTGCAGCCTTTAACGCCGAGCTCGGATCGATGTGAACTGACTGTGGCACTGCAGAATGACGTCTCAAGAGTTCCAAGTGTTGGTAGCTCAAGCAAGGAGCGAGGCTGATAACCCGGCGTTCAGGGTGAGTTCCCTGCCCCCAAAACAATCATCTTTTTTTCGAGTGGGAATGCCTACTAACATTCGAGCCACTCTCGGCGGCTCTTCCTAGGCGTATTTCCCAATGTAAGTGACTCCCAACTTGTCCAGCCGCCCAATTTCTTTCGAGTACTGACATATGGGTCCTCAAGGTACGTTTGTATAGGACGAAAGGCTCGTCGTTGAGACGAGCAGATGAGGGCCATATGACGATGCTGCTTTTCAGAGCGAGTTTTGTATGGTGGCGTAGAGCGTTGTTTCCCAGCCAGGACTTGATGGACCTTTTCTTTTGGACCTGGATTACGATGGTGACGATGTGACGACAGCAAATACCCCTTGTCTAGCTCGCAATCCTATTTGATTAATTCGCTACTGCAGTGCTTTCTTGCTGTCCGATCTTCGGCGTTGGCGATTGTATGACGGAGTTGTGAGAGCCCAGTTAGAGCTGCCCTTTCCGTACTCGTATCGTTGCTGATTTTCAAAAGGCAGTCATCGACGGTGTGGCATCAGACAAGTGATGTACGGCGACCAAGCTTTTTGTCGCTTTGGAAAGAACGTGGACTTGACTCGATTGCCGACTGCTTGTTGTTATCGAAAGGAGACGCAAGTGTCAAGGGGAGACTAGTTGTCGATGACCGAACGACAATTGCAAACAGAGTGAGTAGAGAACGGAAATGGGCGCTGATGATCACTGAGGATGTTGTTATTCCTGTTTCGGGATTAGAAGTACTTCATACAAGACAGACATTGAAGAGGATATGCTTTGAGGAGATAGTGTCTATATGTTGAAGCCGAAGGGGATAGACGTGTAGTTGAAAGAGAGTGAGGCGCATGTGGAGAGCGGCGGAAGCTAAGGTAAGTAAGTGCCTTATTGGATGGTGGTGGGAAGGAAGAAATCCGGAACAAGGCCGGCGGCTTCCCATGCCCATGTTCACGGCAAGGTACCTACTTACCAACTTTTGACACAGATAAGTACTGTACATTTTGGACTCAGGTTGCCTGAGGTGGTGTGAACGTATGGTAAGGTAGGTAAGGCAAAGGAAGGCGAGGAATCCCCCCACAGTGATGGATTCGGAAGAGACGTCTTGAAGGTGGAAGAAGCGGACGGGAAGGCTCAAGGGGGGAGGATGGCACGAGTTCTTGTTCTTCTACCTTCTCTGTACCTTACCATGTTATCCGCTGCTGTTGCTTTATCTGTTCCATGTTGGGTTAGAATGGAGGGAGGCAAGACGCCAGGCCTTGCCAGGAACGCAAGAGGTCTGCATGGTTTTTTACTCGCTACCGTCTCCTCGGGTTCTCGGTGAGGACCGAGGTGGACTGCAGACGAACAACTCACGTCACATTGAGCCTGCACAATCTCTCTCTCTCTCTCTCACACACACACACACACATACACAAGTTACAACACCGCCAGAGCTGGGCACATCGAACCCATGTCAGAGCGGAATGGACTGTCGAGTCGTGGCTTGACTCTGACGTTCCTGACAAAGAGGCAATCGGAATCCACTTTCATCTGAAGATGAGATAATTTGCTGGCGCCATGCCACATTTGCCGCCTCCGCACCTCACAAGTTCCACGCCAGCATCCACGCCCGCATTCAAGCCAAGTTCCACGCCGGTGAGTGCTCAGAGCCCTTGCGCCATCTAGGTTCCCCGGCTTCGGAAACTTCCTCCCTAGCATGATCAGGGGCACAGACATTTCGGCTGACGATTCCTTCTTGACCGAGTAGATAGCCGCTGGGGCAAGCTGCAAAGTTCGGATACGGATACCGACACTGCCCCTGGAATGTCACAATGCCAGGGACATCAACTGAAGCTGCCGCGATGATGAAGCATGCAACGGTCAAAGTTTCTATGCAAATCGATCCGATGGACGCACAACCCCCTTCAGCTTGGCTGGCAGATTGTCTACCGGGGCCAAATCGACATAGGTGGCAGCTGCTGGAACTTCGAACCTGGAACACCCGGTGGATGTGATATCGGGAACCTTTCGCGGATGCCCCGACCCTTGTTTCCTGCAGCTCCCCTGATCTTCGGCACATCAGGTGATTTGGGCCTCAGGGTTTGCATAGTCTTCACATTCTTTCACAAGAGCTCCAACTGATCCGCGAATTATCACCAACACGCCCATCGACGGAACGCGTGTCCCAAGTTATGCGCGCATCAATGACTTGGAAGTTGAAATATCCGCGAGATTCCCTGAACGCATAAAGTGTGCGGCTGATTGTGTCATCCGAACCATCAGGCCTCCATGTACCTGTCAATCTGGCATCTGCAATCTTCAACCAAGATGGCACCCTCAAAGGGTAGAATGCGAGGAAACTACTGCCAATAGTGTGTCCAATATATCAACACTTTTTTATTCAACGCCCCCCCGCCGCCAATACATCCTCACGGACGCTACTCCCAGACACTGGTGCCACTTCGCGCCACCTGTGGAGGAGAGGATCCGGGGATGTTCCTGCTGCCGTGGACCTGGCCAGAACAACCAGCCGTTGCTAGCCAATGAGAAGCTGTCCCGAACATTTATGCATTTTGAGAGCTCCCAGCAGTAACTTTTTTTCTGCATGACTGCAACTGACAGACCAACAACAGCTTGTCGATCGCATTGTACCACTATCCTATTACAGTCAGAACGATACAAAGACCGATCAATTGAGGAACGACCACCGCTCCCCCTCGAAAATCCAAGCTCAGGCAAACGAACGACCTTCCTCCGTCCACAATGGCCTCCCGAACCTCAGTCCGCCTCGCCCAAGCCCTCCGGCCAATGGTGCCGGGCCGCGTCCACCCCCTCCGGACGACGATCCGTTGCTACTCCGATGCCGCTCCGGCCCAGCCCAAGCTCCTGGCCACTCTCAAGACCGACCTTAAGACCGCCATGCGCGCAAAGGACGCGCCCCGTCTGTCGGTCCTCCGCTCCGTTCTCTCCGCCACCAACAACGCCGCCAAGACAGACTCCCCCATTGCGACGGACGCCCAGCTCGTCGCCCTCCTCCGCAAGACGCAGCGCGCCACCCAGGACGCCGCCAAGCAGTTCCGTGACGCCGGTCGCGACGACCTCGCTGAGAAGGAGGACACCCAGGCCAAGGTTATGGCCGAGTACATTGCCAGCAGCGGCGTCGTCACCGTCACCGAGGCCGACGTCCGCGTTCTCATCCAGAAGGCCATCGAGGACTCCGTCGCAGCGGGCAAGAGTGGGCTTGGAGAGGTCATGAAGCTCATCAACAAGGCGACTGGGGACAAGGACCTCGAGGTCGAGAAGAAGCGTGTTGCCGAGCTCGTCAAGGAGGCCCTTAAGAAGGATTAGAGGAGAAAGAGATCTTAAGGTTCCGAGCCATGTTGCTCTGAAAAGCTGTACCAATCTGTACCAACAACAATAGTGTATCACATCTGTATACCCAAAAACGGAATTATGGCGACAAAGAAGGGCACGCCTGGGGAGACGAAACATCTCTTCTCTTGAACGATACTGAGACGAATATAATAATGTCACACTGTACGAATATCACGACACAAAATGCTCCACTAAGTGTATACGCGATGGGAGTCTGGATGGGAGCTCAGACAATGGTCAGTACTTGCGCTTGGCAATCAGATGCACATTGCTTAATCTATGGTATTGGTATCTGTTCAGCATAGGTTTTGAGGAGCTCAACCCCCCTCTGAATGAGCTGGCCCTTGCTCTCTCATCGTCTCGGTCTCACACTCTTTCTGCCTCACACACACACACACTCTCTCTCTCTCTCTCATTCAAGCTTTTTGCAAAAGTTGAAGCTACTAGACAACCCGCCAGTCTACCCATCTCCATTATAACGCCGCGAAAAAAACGCCCGCAAAGCCGTACGCCATGCCATGAATCTCTCTCTTTCTTCTGAAACATAAGAAATACGTTTTTTTAGGGGGGCAGAGGGTATGTTTTCTTCTCACGCGACGCTATCGTCCTCGTTCCTCAACCCCGCATACTCGGTCCCCTGGTTCGCGGTGCTCAACCTCGCGCAGAGACTCAGCAGGACGACCGTCTCCGTCGCGGCGTAGTGGTTCAGCGCGTCGAGCAGGATCTGCAGGTGCCTGCTGAAGTTGCCCTCCCACTTCTTCATAATCTCAAAGAGGTTGCTCACGCGGGCTTCTTGCTCCGCGGCGCTGCCACTGCCGCCACCGGCCCCCGCCGATGAAGTCGATTCGTTGTGCGAGGTGGTGCCGCCCGCGCCCGGCCCGGACGAGGGCTTCTGCGTCCTGACGGCTTGGAAGGCGCGCCATTGGTCTGCCGTCATGTTGGGCGGGCGCGTGGCGCCGGAGAGGTCCGGGTCGGCCTTTTCTAGCTCGCGGGAGAGCCAGTTGGAGTAGGTTGCAAAGACTGTGCAGGTTTGCATGAGTTTGGAGTGGATCTGGCCAAGGGTTTGCACGTTAGCTGGGAACTGTACTGTGAACCACATCGAGGGTGGTAGTGAGAAGGAGAAAAGACGTACCCTGAGAAGCTTGCTGTTGGTGAGCATGCACTCCTTCAAGCACGTGTCCAAGAAATCCACATGATCCTGCATCAACTCGTCTACCGTCCGCGTAGGCGTCGTGCCCCCCGCCGCCGTCGCCTCCTGGCCCTCCTCGCCGACTTTAAGCCGGGACATGAACTTTGCCCAGTTGGGCTCAATAACCTCGGCCGTGCAAAAGTACAGCAGCTGCTGCACAAAGACGAGCATGCGCGCGCGCAGCGTCCACACGCGGCGCTTCCAGATCTCGAGGCCGCGCGAGGAGCTCTTGTGCGACCACGTCAGGCCTGAGGTCTGCGAGTACCACGTCGTCGAGAGCTGGGACTCGAGGTAGCGCAGCGACAAGAGGTATCGGAACAGCGCCTGGTACCGCCACACGGTCTTGCGGCTGATGACGAGTGAGACGGGGAAGGGCACCGTGTAGTCCAGCTGGAGCGACGTGAAGCCGATGGCGTTCTTGTCGTTCTCGATGGGTTGCTGGTTCGCGAGCGGCTGCAGCGTCTCGCCCTGCTCGATGCCCGTGATGTTGACGACACGCTGCAGGGATTTGACGAGCGTGATCTCGTTCATCTCCACCTTGACGTCCTCCTTGAAAGGGTCCAGCGAGACGACGCTGCCCGGCTGGCGCAGCACCAGGTCGAGCAGGGACTGCAGTTTGCCGGTGTTAACGGACTTGACAGGCTTCCGCAGCTCGGACGTGCCGAGCTCGAGGAAGTAGGAAAAGTAGTCGGACGGGTCCAGGAAGAAGTAGTGCTTAAGCGACCGCAGCCTAATGGGAAGCGAGTGCGTCGTGAGCAGCAGCTGCATGAGGGACTCGTTGGCGTGCGCGTACGCATTGTTGACGTTCTCCAGGAAGCGGCTGTCGTCAAACGATGTGGGCACGTCCTGAACGACCTTGCTCACGTCCACGCCGCCGCATTCTCTTACGACGTTGAGATACTTGCCCGCCAATAGTACCTTGTCCTTGACACCTTCCAGTTGAGGGGGAATATCGTGTTCCCGGATCGTGTACCGTCGCTCCCAGTACTCGTCCGTGTAGTCCTGCTCCAGCCGTTCTCTCCGAATGCTCTTTTGCTCCTTGACTAGAAACTCGGCGTGCGCGTCGTTGATGCTGCCGTGGTGTAGCCACTCGTTGAGCATCACCATGTAAGGTTTACTAGCATCGCGCAGCAGCGACGTCAATAGCGCGCGCGCAGCCGGGTCTCCGGACATGGACTCAAGCCTCTTTGTGATGAGACCCAACACGACACCGCCTTTGCAAATCTTCTTGCCCGAGCCCGGGACTAGGTCGCCGCCCTCCCGCAGCGACTCGAGAATATTCTCAAAGTCGTCTGCGCTATCGCTTTCTTCTTCGTCATCGTCGTCTAGAAGCGCATTCCTTTTGAGCAGATCGTGTGCTAGGGAGTATAGATGCGACATCATCTTGCTCGTCGGTAAGGTGTGGATGTTTAAAACGTGTAGAGTAAAAGTCTCGTTGGTCAGGAACTGTGTCTCCAGCTGCGCGATCATAATGAGGTAGTCGTGCAAGAATTTCCTGATGGAGGCGCAAAGAGCGTGATTGACGGCGCCGAATTCCTCTCTACTCTGCACATCGACGAACATTTCGAGGGCTGAATAATATGTCGCCATCTTCAGCATCGACAGTGTCAGGTCCAGCAAACTAGGATCCAGGCCTGGCAGTATCCTGAACGTGGGCCCCGACAGCCGGTCCCTCTCCTCGTGCGGATTATAAGTCTTTGCGAAGCGGATATACTGCCCCTCGTAGCCCATGAAGACGAAGAGGAGATCCTCCAACATCACCGCCTCTTGCGCCTCGAGAGATAGCTCGTTTAGTGGTTTCGGCTGTTGAGGCTGCGGCGCCTGTGCCGCCAATGGCGGTATGGATATTCGACAGGCCAGGGGAGCCGATGTGTGAGGTAATAGAGTCGCCTCTGGGTTCCAAGGTGCTGCAGAGCCGTTTAGTTAGACGGCCGGAGTTACTCCCAACACCAATGCAATCGCATTCACTAACCTTGCGGAGTGTCAACCTTGGCGTCCTTGGGCTTCGCCTCAGCCGCCCGCGACTTGGCCTCGCCGTTCTTCCCCTTATCGCCTCCACCCCTCACTGGGCTCCTCGTCCGCTGCGTCATGGTCTCGCGCTCCGTCACATATGTCCTCTCTGTCCGCCTCTCCTCCACACGCCTGTCGTCGTGCATCCTGCTCGTAGCTCTGGGATTCCCTGACGCAGATCTCTTGTGCGCATTGCCTCCAGGTGACGCCTCTCTCTCCTCCCTCTCGCGCTGCTGATGGTGGTCCCGCTCTCGTTCACGCTCACGCTCGCGCTCCCGCGGCCGCTCTCGTTCCCTCTCTCGTTGTCGCGCATCGCTCCTCTCGCTGCGCTCGCTCTTGAAGCTCGTCTGCCCGCTACCTGTGCCCGTGCCGCTCGCCGCTGCGCCTGCTGCGTTCATGCGTGCCGTTCGTGAAGGTCGGTCCTGGTCAACGCCGGCGGCCGAGCCGTTTGCGCGCCGCTCATGGGTTGAGACCCTGGTGGTGCCAGACGACATGTCGCCGACTGCATCTGAAGTGTAGGAGGCGTCTTGGAGGGGTATTGGTGTTGTTCGTATGGCAAGACGCCGACTCTGCTGTGATGGTTGGAGGGGATTGGTGGTGGTTTTGAGGTATTCGTTGCTTGGTCTTGTGGTTTGTGGTCCTTGTCTCTCTGCCCCTCTATCGCAGAGTCGCAGTCTTACACTCCGCGCGTGAAGGTGGGTTGGGCACTGCGTACGGGTACCTTAGCTGTACTCAGGTACTCAAACGCGGTAAAGGGCCATTAACCTCAAGCGCGTTTAGTCGGAAAATCCTCGCGTGTTATTGACCCCGGTCCCGGATGTGGTAAACCTCCCCTGGAATATTCCGGGTTTAGCGTTCGGGGGGCGGTAGCTGTTGGAGGGGAATCTGGGAGTGACCAAGATGACCAATCATGGAGCTTCCAGTCAGAGAACAGGGGGCAGTATCGCCTGGGGCCTGGTCGTTGTCGGCTCCAATTGCTGAGGTGCTGGGCCACACACCCCGTGCGCCCCCCAAAGGGAACCTGGTACACTAGAAGCTTTCCCAGGTGGTAAGGTGCGGCTGCGTAGGCCAGGTGCTTGCCTAACCGCACCTGCCATCTCAGCCTTCCACCGTCACCGTTTGTTACCTGGGCCTTCCTCCAAGCTCCCCCTCCATCCATCCACACCTCAGTCCAAACCACCAGCATCCACGCAATCCCCGATCCACGACAACCTCAACCCCGACGACTCTCAAGCCATTGACCTTACCGATCCGGATACCCCTTATTTCCATCTAGGAACCACACACATACACAATACCGCCAAGATGTTTATGGCAAGATCTGAATACGGTAAAGCACCCAAACCAAGCAACCCCAGCTTCTCTTCCCCCTCGCCAGAGAGCTTTCTCGTCTAACATATCCTCCCCAATCCAACAGACCGAGGAATCAACACCTTCTCCCCAGAAGGCCGCCTCTTCCAAGTCGAATACTCCCTCGAGGCAATCAAGCTCGGCTCCACGGCCATCGGCGTTGCCACCGCAGAGGGCGTCGTCCTCGGCGTCGAGAAGCGCGTCACCTCGACCCTCCTCGAGACCTCGTCCGTCGAAAAGATTGTCGAGATTGACCGCCACATTGGCTGCGCAATGTCCGGCCTCCAGGCCGATGCCCGCTCCATGGTCGAGCACGCCCGCGTCGAGTCCCAGTCCCACTCCTTCAACTATAACGAGCCTCTCCGCGTCGAGTCGTGCACCCAGGCCATCTGCGACCTCGCCCTCCGCTTCGGCGAGGGTGCCGAGGGCGAGGAGACCATCATGTCCCGCCCCTTTGGCGTCGCTCTCCTCATCGCCGGCTACGACGAGGACGGCCCCCAGCTCTTCCACGCCGAGCCCAGCGGTACCTTTTACCGCTACGACGCCAAGGCTATCGGTTCCGGCTCCGAGGGTGCGCAGGCTGAGCTGCAGAACGAGTACCACAAGGTCAGCCCTTCTCTCTCCCCCAACCCCAGGCGCTGACAAATTTGTTCTGTCACTCGGCGCCCCGCCGACTCTCACACACATGCACTAACACACCCCATTAGTCCCTGTCAATTACGGATGCCGAGACACTGGTGCTCAAGACGCTCAAGCAGGTCATGGAGGAGAAGCTCGACTCGAAAAACGTCCAGCTCGCGAGCGTAACGAAGGAAAAGGGCTTCAGAATATACACGGATGAGGAGATGGCCGCTGTGGTGGAGAGACTCCCTGCGAACTAGAGGGATGTGAGGTCTGTGGTGTTTGAAAGAGGATAAAGGGTGCAATCTTGCGGTCTCGGCGACTCGGGAAAAAGTGAAAGAAGACACTTGAGCCAAAGAAGAGGTAGAGAGCGCGAAAAAGAGAGAAAGCGAGAAACCCAAAGATCACCCGATTACGAAACTTGGAAACTGACGTCTAGACGATTTCCCCCTCCAAAGAGGGTATCACTATTGTACTAAACGTGATGGTGGCTTTATTTTTTGAATCTTATCTATGATGTGACGTTGTGAATGGGCACATTGTATTTACCAAACGTAGGACTATGGCCTCTCTCCAAGACATTACCTGAGTTGCGCCTCCACCCATTGACACGGATGCGTTCATGCCCACGCTTCCATCAACGCTCATAGTCGCTCAGAACACTCGCTACCCAAGGTGATTCCGCCGGGAGTCAACCTCCTCTCAATTCTCATCCTTAATCACCAACCTCTCCATCTCCTCCTCCACGCTAATCAGACCCAGAGCATAAAACGCCCTCTCCGACTTGGCGACGACGAGCACCGTGTCGTCACTATCGAGCTGCTCGATCCGTGCGCCGATACGCCGCGGGTTCGACCACACGGACGGCGGCACCACAGTCTGCAGGCTCGGGTCACGCGCGTACGGCGGACCCCGGCCCATGGCTGCCGCCTTTTTCCACCCGGACTCGCAGCCCTCGGCGATCTGCCGCGCCGACTGCCAGCCTGTGAGGCGGGCGATGTCGTGCATGCGCCTGACGATCCAGTGACGTTGAGCGTCGCTTTGGTACTGTGGAGAGTGTTAGCAGGCGTGGTATCTACGGTAAGTACATGGGAACACGGATGGTGTTTCTTTGAGCGAGAAGGCGGGTGAAGAAAGGGGCGTCTTCTCACCTGAATAGCACTGACAAACAGACAGAATGAACTCTCGATCAGCGCTGCGCCGACGAGGGTGCTAATCTCGAGCACATTGCTACAGTCGTCCGTCAACCCGGCCGCAATACGACCAATCTCCATGGCGAACTTGGCCGTGTGTTGTGCCTGTATCCCCGCGGCGATCATAGCGGCGGGAGGCATCTTGGGGTGCGCGCGGTAGAGGTGGATGAGGCCCATGTAGTAGTTCATCCAGATGCCTGCCACCGAAAAGGTGCGGTACTGCAGCGTGGGACCAAAGGGTGAATCTCGGCGGTCGGCATACTCGGCGCCTAGGGGCTGGAATTCGGGACCGAAGCGGGACCGGAGCATCTCAAAGGCCTCACGGAGGGAGGTCCACTCGCGCATAGCAGCGTCGGCGGCTTCGTCCGAGTCAAGGTCGACTTCCTCTCGGGCGTCGGGCGGTGGCGGGGAGTCGTCGCGCGGGGGACTGAAGCCCATTGGCAGCGTCACTTTTCCGAGGTTAGGGAGCATACCCGGAAACATGGGCGGCGAGCCGCCGGGACCGCCGGGGCCCATTCCCGGTCGCGGCCCCATTCCTGGCGGCGGCCCTCCCGTCATGTTTGGCGGCGGCATGCCCATCGGGGGAGCCCCAGGAGGTCCACCTGGCATTCCTCCCATCATCCCACCGGGAGGCCCTCCTCCGTGCATGCCCGTTGCCATTCCCGGCGGCGGTCCCATCCCTGGCGGCGGCCAACCTTGACCACCTCTCGGTGGGCCACCCGCACCTGGTGGTCCTCCATGTGGCTGCCCACTATGCGGCGGTCCTCCAGGCCGTCCCCCGGGGGGTCCGCCGGGGGGTCCGCCAGGCGGGCCTCCTGGAGGACCAAAACCCTTGAAGGATTTCCGTTTTCTCGGAAGATCTTTAGATGCGAAGCTGCACAGGCGTCCGAGCAGCAGCATGAGGTGATCGTACGTCCCGTATCTACTATTTGTCAGCCAAGTCGTGCCTTACGTATGGGAACATGGGTAGACTTACATGGCCTCAAGTCGGCCCATGGGTGCTCGTGGTGGGCACTGCGTCCAGTGTTGGTAGTCCATGCTGTTTTCGCTTATAAGCCAACTAACCATCTTGACTGCAATGTTATCCAAATCCTTCGAAACTTACAAAGGTTTCCCTCCGCCCAACATGCTTTGATATACATCCATCTTGCAGTACCACCAGTACAAATCTCTCAGATGTTCGTAGTGCTCGATATCGCGGTCTGTGTAGTAGTGTGGAGATGGCTTGTCGTCCTCGTACGAGACGTGCTGGTTAGTAAGCTTGCTGAGGAAGCCGAGATCGAGATCATCGAGATCGTGGCTCATCATGTGGGTGTTGTCGTGGCCCATGTAAAAAGGGTCCATTGGCTGGTTCTGGCTCTCCTGGAACAGCGCCCTCCTCACCCTTTTCAGCGGCAGAATGTTCTTTGTCATTTGCCTGAAGGGGATCTCCCTGATCAAGAGCCTGGAGCCAAAAAGATGGTTGCACCACTTTGTGTGATCCGAGTTCCAGACCTCAAAGTACCCAAGCAACAGGGAGGCAGCCAGCGTTGCCGGTGACGTTCTCCTCTTAGGACTCCGTAGATTCTTTGCGATCCTGCGGATGGCAAGATGATAATGCTTCATGGCTGCTGTCGGCGGTATCTGCTGTAGCTTGGCGATCTGCAACGCGCCCAATGCAAGCATTGCCTGCAGGAGGGCAGGATGCGTAAACGATATAATGGGAAATGTGTCTGGCCAAGAGTTAGTCGAGAGGGAAAGCTTAAACCCCAGAATTCCATCATCTTACAAGTCCAGATGTTGTGTCCCGCTTTAGGGACGGAGAAGTTGTTTGTCAACTTTGAGTGGTCGAAAGGATGCCGCTCGTATAGCGACATGCTTGGCCCAGTGACGTTGATGAAGTGCCAGAACAAAGCAGCAGTTCGCTCGTCATTGAGTGGCGAATTGTTGGGCGTAGGTATGTACGATGTGAGAATTGTCTCGTCAGCAAAGGCCGAGAAGGACCTCATCTTAGTTCCGAATCCATCCCAAGGCCCGTCGTTCCGGCTCTGCACCAGTTGACCGTATGCGCTCTCCTCGCCCATGAGATCTTCGAATGCGTCCTCTGAGTCGGGCATGGAGGCATCGTCGTCCGAGCATGGGTACTGGAACTCTGCGTCCTCCACAGGGTGATCCATCTGAGGGGCGGCATTGGCGCTGGGATACACATCCATCTCTTCCACCTGTGCCTGAGCTCTCGGCGGCTGGTGTCTCCATGGTTCTGTCGGGCTGTGGACAAACGCGCCACTATCTGTATTGGGGCTGACCAAGTTGCTCTGTTGACCACCAAATTGCGCCTGAAATTGACTAGCTGGTGAGATGATGGAAGAGCTTGAAGGCATGTGTTGCTCGCCATACGGGAACTGGTTGAAGTCGAAGGCATTAGGAGGAGGGGCTTGGTGTTGATGCTGACTGGGAAAGCCTTGACCATAGGGAAACATCGGCTGGCCTTGGAAATCTAGATGTTGCGGCGGCTTAGGCGCAATCGGTGCCAGGGGCGGACCATTGATGGACTTGGGTGGCGGGTTGGGCAGTTGGTTGAATGACTGGTTTGGCGCCTCGGGAGGATAGACGATAGGACCGTAGCTGCCGTTGATATTAAACCCGGCGATGGGTTCTTTGAAGATTACACGCTGATTGTACCCTTCGCAGTGCCTCTTGGATTTGATGCAGTTGTTACAGATGGGTCGGCCTTCATCGCACTTTATGCGACGTTTGCGACATGCTTTAGAGTCAAGTCAGACGTCTAGACCAGGTACCGGTATGAACATGAGGAGGGGAGGCCAGGAGGAAAGGGGGTGGATGGAGGCCAAGGGTCGGAGTTGGGGTTCAACATATGGAACATACTGAGACAGCCGGTTTTCGTCCTTTTCCGCACATTTGCTTTCTCTTTCTTGCGGTTCGTGTCTTCATTCTCATTGTCGTCGTTATTGTTGTTGTTCTCCGAGGTCTTGGACGGTGACTTGTCGTCCTCGACGACCACTTCGGCAGAATCCATCCTAGTAGATGCTAGTGCGCTGCGAGTAAGATCGGGGTTGCGACGCGGCTCTTAATCCATGAGTATGTTGACGGCTACAGACTGCATTGTCTGAAAGTAGTCTGTAGTTCTGCGACGCGGTGATATAGCGAATGTCTCGTCCCCACAGGCGAAAGGGGTCTTCTCTGAGATTCTTGCAGTAGTCTAAGGCAGATATCGTGAGGCTAATAAGAATGGTTACGAGATAAGTCAAGTTCCAAGGCTTGAACCGTTGTCGAATGTGTGAAAGACTATAGTAATCTTCTGAGCCAACAAGCTTCTGGGTGTGTTGTTGAATGGTCTAGCGGCAGCGTAGCGAGACACTGTGGATAAGTCCCGTTTCTTGTGCGCGGCACCCAGATCGAAGGAGAGAATCAAGAGGACGCAGGTATGGGGTCCCAAGGATGTAGATGAGTTTTAAGCAGCCATAGATGGTGGAAGGAAGTGAAACAGGCCGGTGCTACTTTGTCTTCGGCGAATGGGTAGTCATGGGTTAGACAAGATGCATGGACTCGTGGGGTAGGACGGGGGGGTAAGGAAGGGTAAGGATGTCTGCAGCAGTTGGGAGAGAGCGAGGGAGAGAGAGGAAGGAGGAGGAGTAGGAGAAAGTATCTGTCTCTTTCTCACACCACGAGGAACGAGGATTAGGACTAGGTATCCAGAGAGAGAGAGAGTATGTGAGAGGGACAGAGACAGAGAGAGAGAGAGAGAGGTACTTGCCCACCCTAGGACAAGGAAGGATAGACTAAGAAAGAAGTAGAGATCCCAAGGCACTGTACTGTGCCCTTGAGTTAGGGTATTTGATTCGAGGCTAGAGCAGACCAGCGTGGGGAGAACAGATGGGCCACAAACAACGGGGAAACCGCCAAGCAGCAAGTACCTCCTTCTCTGGACTAAGAGGAGGCCGGGATGACCGGGGTTGATAGAAAGAACGACGAGGATGGAAGCCGGCACCTAGGACGTAGTAATGGTTCAGTATCCGTACCTTTAGTGTGCCTTCTTGTCCTGACTGGTGAGTGCCCCGTAAGGCAAG